ATCCCAGCTTCTGGCAACCAGAGAGGCGTACAGCTAGTTCGGATTAGAAGCCTAATCCGAACTAGCTAGTCCGTGCCGCGTGTAGCCGCGCGGCACGGGGTCCGAACTAGCCGGCATTTAAAAATGGCGCCGGCCGGCTTCATGCAAATGAAGCCCGGGAAATTCAAATCCCGGGCTTCATTTGCAACTGCGGATGACTACATTACCCCCGCTAGTTCGAACTAGTGGGATAGTGTAGACATACCCGAAGGGACACCCAGAACATGGTTTGGGTCTCTGATCCTGGAGAGCAGCCATTAATTAACCTATCCTCTGCGTTGGAGTTCATAATGGAATCATGTTAGATCCTTGGCCTTGACAGCATCCCCCAACAGAGTGGCCCATAGGTTGACTATGAACAAATACTTCCTTTTGTTTGTTTCCCATCTGCTGCCTATTCATTTCCTAGTTCTTATGTTTTGTGAAGGAGTCAATAATATTTCCTGATTCAATTTTTCCACACCAGCCGTTGTGACACTGTACCCCCATATTGTAAGGGGATATCATTGTCAAAATGTTATGCAAAAGTGCATCTGCTTTAAGTGCAAAATGTGGTATGTTGCTTCTCACTGTAAAATCTTGTAGTCCTCTGAATGTGTGTATTCTATTTGTGTGCCTGTATCATTCTTCTCTGTCAAGTGAGAAATATGAAGTGTAAACCTGCTTATTAAACTAGGTCTTCTGTGAGAGCCTGTAGTAGTACTTAAGGGACTTAATGGCCTGGTGCTCAAGGCAGTGATCAATGAATGGTTTGGATTTTCCTGTCAGCCTAAGCTTTCATTGGTCCCATAAAGGCATGTGACCATGCCACTTGGTGCTGGAATCCATCTTGAATGTGGTATTTCCCCATGAGGATGGGGGGGATAGAGTAAAGGCTTCCCGCCCTGGGGAAATTCTCTTGAAGGGAGGGGAAGCCATCAATGAGTGTCTTCAACTGGCTTTTGAAATTGCCTGCATAGATTAAGGGGACACACAAGAACACCTAGAAAAAAAACCTGCAATGGAAGGGGAGAAGGAGAACTGATGGGACAAGGTCAGAGAAGACCAGCCCTGTCTGGTGAGGAATTGGCTGGTGAAGAGCCTGAAATATGAAGTAGGGTGAGAAATATTATTTGTAAAAACTTCCAGAGAATTAGGCTGAGCTGGCGTGTTTTCTTCATTTTAGCTTAGTCACTTGCTTGGTCACCACTCGCAATCACTTAAATACTAGTGTTCATAATTAATAAAACCAGTCTTGTTTATTATCAAGCCCATTGAAAATAATTGTTACCATTGATAAAGAGAACTCCATGGCTACGTCTACACTGGCCCCTTTTCCGGAAGGGGCATGTAAATTTCACTAGTCGTCGTAGGGAAATCCGCGGGGGATTTAAATATCCCCCGCGGCATTTAAATAAAAATGTCCGCCGCTTTTTTCCGGCTTTTAAAAAAGCCGGAAAAGAGCGTCTAGACTGGCCCCGATCCTCCGGAAAAAGTGCCCTTTTCCGGAGGGTCTTATTCCTACTTCAAAGTAGGAATAAGACCCTCCGGAAAAGGGCACTTTTTCCGGAGGATCGGGGCCAGTCTAGACGCTCTTTTCCGGCTTTTTTAAAAGCCGGAAAAAAGCGGCGGACATTTTTATTTAAATGCCGCGGGGGATATTTAAATCCCCCGCGGATTTCCCTACGACGACTGCTGAAATTTACATGCCCCTTCCGGAAAAGGGGCCAGTGTAGACGTAGCCCATAAGTTTTCCCTGTGGACACTTCCATACAGAGCAAGATGGATTTATTGGGGTTGGTCCCCTTCTGGGACTGTGAGCCTGGGTGCTCGCATTTCCCTGTAATTTAGCTCTCCCAGGATGTGTCTAGACTACAGGGTTTTTTCAAAAAAAGTGGCCTTTTTTCAGAAAAACTTCCCCTGCGTCTAGACTGCCACCACATTCTTTTACAATTAAATCCAAAGAACAGTTTTTTCAACCGTGGAAAACCTCATTTTACGAGGACTAACACCTTTTTTTCTCAAGTGCTCTTTCGAAAAAAGGCATTATTGAATGCAAACAGGACTTTTTCAAAAGAGAGCATCCAGATTGCCTGGGTGCTCTCTTTGGAAAAGGCAGCTTGCTTTTTCGAAAGAAGTGACTGCAGTCTAGATGTAGCCGCAGAGCTAAGCTGTTCTCAGTGCCTATGTTGCTCTGCTGGGGGGCGGTCACCCCAATTCTGGGCCCTATTGGTGGAGACCAGAGCTTGTGGTTCATCAGGACAGGACAGGGCTGTGGGGAGCCCAAGAAGGCAGGTAGGTGAACTCAGGGGCATGATCAAAACATCGGCTGACAGTCCATAGGGGACCTCAGAGATTCAATCCATCACAGTCATGATTTAGCACCTTCTCTTATACGCCTCCTTAGTCATCTCTTTTCCAACCTGTACAGTCCCATTATTTTGAATCTCTCTTTGAGTGACGTTTGTTCGATACCCCTCATCATTTCTGTGGCCCTTCTCCAAATCCAGTATCTGTTTTTTAAGGTCATGTGACCAAATCTGCACACAGGATTCAAAATACTGGTTATTTCTTATTTCCTTTTCCCTAATGATTCCCCACATTCTGTTTCCTGTCCAAGAGAAAACTCTCCCACCAGCAGGTTGCAGCTATACACGGGACAACCCCACTGCAGGGAGCATAGGGAGACTGTTCCAGGGAGGAGCCCGGACTGGGATGTTGGAATCTTAGAACCACTAAGGAGGTGGCTGATGATTCCATCGACTCAGCAGCTGGAGAAACACGACTTCCATCAGGGAGACAGGTGTAGCTCCTGTCACGGACATACGTGTCCAGGCTGTTGGCTGTGATCCCTTCATGGCTGAGCAGGGGACAGATCCTGCCCTGAAGAGCAGAGGGGCGCTCTGAGCAGGAAACTGGGGACAATAACGGTGGGAGCACAGGGATGTCTTCTCATGGATATAAAGACTAGAGGACACCAAATGAAATTAATGGGTAGCAGGTTTAAAACTAATAAGCAAAAGTTCTTCTTCACACAGTGCATAGACAACCTGTGGAACTCCTTGCCAGAGGAGGCTGTGAAGGCTAGGACTAGAACAGAGTTTAAAGAGAAGCTAGATAATTTCATGGAAGTTAGGTCCATAAAAGGCTATTATCCAGGGGATAAAATGGTGTCCCTGGCCTCTGTTTGTCAGAGGCTGGAGAGGGATGGCAGAAGACAAATTGCTTGATTATTATCTTCAGTCCACCTTCTCTGGGGCACCTGGTGCTGGCTGCTGTCGGCAGACAGGACACTGGGCTAGAAGGACCTTTGGTCTAACCCAGTACGGCCGTTCTTATGTTCTTATGGATCACATGAGGAATGGTGCCCAGAGTGCAGCGGTTGATTCCACCTCTAAGCAACTGGCCACCCAACCTGTGGCTGGGTTGTTAACAGCAAGCTGTGTAAGTGACTCCCACAGGGTGAGCTCTCCTGGGTAGAGAGATGGATGACGGACGCCACCCCAATCCACAACCCAGTTCTTCAGGACTTTGTTCCTGACCTGCTTGTGGATTCTAATGCTGTCTCTTTAAAAGGGAATATAATGGAGATCACCTATCACCAGAAGGGACCGGTCCCCTGCCTTCACAGGAGGACCAAATACCATCCCTAACAAATTTTTGCCCCAAATCCCTTCTGCGAGGATTGAACTTATAACCCTGGGTTTAATAGGCTAGTGCTCAAACCACTGAACTATCCATCCCTTTTTAAAGCAGCCTGGAAACCATACAGAAAAGTCGGAACACAGTGAAAATGTGGCTGGTCCCCTTGAGAAAGGGGAGGAAGGAAGAATGTCCCAGGCTGGTTAGACACAGAAAGCAGCTGTAAAAGAGCTTCTCAGAACAGACACATCGTTTAGCTCCAGGGCACAGATCACAGCCCTCCAGGAAAGGGTGGTGAACATCCCAGTGATGGGAGTGGACATCAGAGGGAAATCCTCAGTGTGAGAGGGAGCAATTTTTTTGTATAAATAACATGTACCCCAAAAGAGTAAAACTGGATAGTACAGCAGCTCTGGGAAGGACATACTATAAAATCATCACAGGTATGGAGAAAGTGAATAAGAGAAAGTTATTTACTAGTTCCCGTGACATAAGAACAAACAAACCAAACAAAAGGAAGCATTTCTCCATGCAGTGCACACTTAATCAGTGGAACTCCTTGCCAGAGGATGTTGTAAAATCCAGGACTTTAAGGGCGTGTCTACACTGCGGCGCTAGCTCGAAATAAACTACGTAGTTTTAGCTATGCGAATTGCATAGCTTATTTTGAGCTTATTTTGAGATAGTCTATTTTAAAATTTGGCAGTGTCTACACAAAATGTCTATTTCAAAATTTGGCAGTGTCTACACAAAATTTGGTGCTGTCTTAATCCTCATGGAACGAGGTTTACCTGGACGTCAGAGTGCACAAAATGTGGTGCTGTCTTAATCCTCATGGAACGAGCTTTACCTGGACATCAGAGTTCCATGCCCGTTATTTCGCTTGCATTTTGAAATAATGGGCTAGCTCTAAAGATGTAGAAAACACTATTTCGGGATACCGGGCATATCTTGAAATAGCGCTGCATACTAGACATACCCTAACAGCCCAGGAAAGGTGGTGATGGAACGGAGGTGATGGTGGGGGGAGAGGTGGTGATGACCTAGCCATGGACAAGTCTTTGAAGGAAGCGGCACAGCAGGAACGGGGCTTTTGCCCAAGAGGTGGGACATTCCGTGAGGGCTCAAAGGTCCATTTGCTGGCAATTAGAAAAGTGACAGCCTTATGAGTTAACGAGCGGTGCACAAGCTGATTCCAGGGTTTCTCACTCTGAAAGAGCACCGTAGAACCAGGAAATGATTTAGTCCAGAAGGTGACTCAAGGAGGAGAGTCCAGCACCATGTCATTACCCAGGTTCGAATGCAGCTCAGTCTGAAAGCCAGAGCACCAGAAGAAAACTTCAGGTCCCTTGATGAGTAAAGAGATGGAGCAGCCTGTCCCGGATCTGTTTGGTCCTCACCCCGTAGATGATGGGGTTCAGCATGGGGGGCACCAGGAGGTACACATTGGAAAGTAGAACATGGAAATATTGGGGCACATTGTGGCCAAATCGGTAAGTGAGGAAGGAGAAGAGAGCTGGGATGTAAAAGGCTAAGATGGCACAGAGGTGAGAACCGCAGGTCCCTAAAGTTTTGAGCCGGGCATCCTTGGTGGAGAGGCTGAACACGGCCCTGAGGATCTGGAAATAGGACACGGAGATAAAAAACACATCTAGACAGGTCAGTAGGAATATCACAAAGAGCGCATAGTAATTACTGATGCGGGTGTCGGTGCAGGCCAGGCTCACCACGGCCATGTTCTGACAGTACGAGTGGAAGATAACGTTGCTTCTGCAATATGGCCACTGCCTCGCCAGGATGGGACAGGGCAGAATGGACAAGCCACCACGCAGCACCACGGCCAGGCCAGTCTTGGCCACCACTGGGCTTGTCAAGATGGTGGAATGTCTCAGGGGATTACAAATGGCCACGTAGCGATCCAAAGCCATGGCCACGAAGATCCCAGACTCCACCACTGTGAAGCAGTGAAGGAAGAACATCTGGGTGAGGCAGGCACTGAAATCGATCTCCCTGTCATTGAACCAGAAGATGCTCAGAGCTTTCGGCAGGATGGACGTGGACAGGACTACGTCGGTGACAGCCAGCATGCAGAGGAAATAGTACATGGGCTCATGGAGGCTGTGCTCTATCTTCACAATATAGAGGATTATGAGGTTCCCCAAGAGGGCTATGATATACATGATGCAGAAGGGGATGGAGATCCAGACATGGGCAGCCTCCCAGCCAGGGATGCCCAGCAGGATGAAGGTGGAAGGGATGGTAAAGTGGGTGGTGTTGGAGTCCGACATGGAGTAGAGGAGAAGGCGTCCAACGCTGAAGCTGAATGGTATCTCCTGCACGTGCCGTATGTTCCCCTGATTCCTGTATCCAGGCTCCAGGTTGATGGTCGCAGAACAAATGCCTGGATGGAGAGACAGTGTATCCATGAGACACAACATGTACCCCTGGGGGCTGTTCTCACGAGTGAAGCAGATGAAATGGGCTTCCCACACTGAAAAACGACATTCCCATTATTCAGAGATATGAACAACGGACCCTGATGGCACCGATTCCATACTTAATGATGCTCTGTGTGTCCGTCTTTGCTACGTGTCATGTCATGGAAAGTGTTAGTAGGTGCCAGCAGGACCCATGAGTGTGGACACTGGCTGTCCCTTCTTGTTCTTTCACGCATTGATAGCTCCTTATGAGCTAAGGTTCAGTCCTCTGGCCAGATCCAGCCCCGCAAAGCCTTGGCATCCAACGCACAGCCTGACCTGTCCCCATGCCATCCCTTGCCCCCAGTGCCTGCTCTGGTACTTCCTGTATCTTCTCTGCAGGACTCTGCCCCCCCATCGCTGCTCCCCTTTCCCCCTCTGTCCCCAGATGATTGGCGGGGTGTGTGCAGTAAAATCTGGATTGGGTGATGAGTTGAACCAGGCAGAGGCAGATCAGAGGCAGAGCCACATTTCTGTATCTGCACGGGGCTCTAGTCATGGAAGCTTCTTTGTGGGGGTGGATTCAAAGAAGGTGGGGCCATCAGTGTGGTTTGGTTTAGACACAAGGACAGCCGGAGTCAGACTGGATTCCCCTTGCGGTCCCCTCTCGGCCTGTGGCTATTGATTCAGGATGTGAAATCCTGATGTGGACGGGGTCTGAGTGACACACAAGCTATGGAGCCCAGTGCAGGGTAACTAGGGGAAATGCCACGGCCTGTGGGATACAGAGTCTCGGTGCGGGTGATCGAATGGTCCCTTCTGGCCTTGAATCGGTACACAGAGACAAGGGAACACTGAATTGCATCGACAGTCTGAACACACGACTCGGACCAAAGAAAATGGTGTGCCCAGTTCCTCTCTTGCCTGTGGAACTCCTTGCCACTGGCATTGGCAAGAATGGAAAGCGACTGTCTGGGAAGGAGTACGGCAGAAAGGGATCTAGGGGTCATAGTGGACCACAAGTTGAATATGAGTCAGCAGTGTGATGCTGTTGCTAAGAAAGCAAACCTGATTCTGGGATGTATTAACAGGTATGTTGTGAGCAAAACACGAGAAGTCATTCTTCTGTTCTACTCTGCGCTGGTTAGGCCTCAGTTGGAGTATTGTGTTCAGTTCTGGGCACCACATTTCAAGAAAGATGTGGAGAAATTGGAGAAGGTCCAGAGAAGAGCAACGAGAATGATGAAAGGTCTAGAGAACATGACCTATGAGGGAAGGCTGAAAGAACTGGGTTTGTTTAGTTTAGAAGAGAGAAGACTGAGGGGGGACTTGATAGCAGTTTTCAGGTATCTAAAAAGGTGTCATAAGGAGGAAGGAGAAAACTTGTTCATCTTGGCCTCTGGGGATAGAACAAGAAGCAATGGGCTTAAACTGCAGCGAGGGAGGTTTGGGTTGGATATTAGAAAAAAATTCCTAACTGTCAGGGTGGTCAAACACTGGAATAAATTACCCAGGGAGGTTTTGGAATCCCCATCTCTGGAGATATTTAAGAGCAGGTTAGATAAATGTCTACCAGGGATGATCTAGACAATATTTGGTCCTGCCATGAGGGCAGGGGACTGGACTCAATGACCTCTTGAGGTCCCTTCCAGTCCTAGTGTTCTATGATTCTATGATTACTGGAGCAAAGAGCTTAGCAGGGTGGGACTTCCAAATGGACTGGCCAATGCACTAGTTAAGGGCGCCTGACACCTTCAATGACAGAACTTCATTTTTCTTTGCTTATCATTTTTCCAAGCTCCCCTATTGGTTGTCAACTTCCCGTCAAATTGTTTTTGGAACGTTTCAGACGAGACGGTTCAGCCAACTTTACAGAGTAGGCTCAGAGAGAAGCTAAGGAGCATCTTCAGGATTGTTGTGGAGAGGCACCTTCCACCTCCATGCCTGAGAGCAGATAAAAGGCAGGTACCGTGCCCCAGGAGGAGGGGACGATCTCTGAACACGGACACAGAGCTGGCTCTACTGCTCTGCCCTCAGGTTTTACTGCAAGGAAAGTTTCCCCTCAGTCAGGCCTGAGCAAATTAGGGGCCAGGGCAGCAGACTTTGGCCATGTTTGGTATCTGCTGACACTTCCCACCCTGGATGCTCCACTGGGCCCTGAAATGCAGACGCCTCAGGGCTGGGAGCCGTCAGCAAGGGGTGGGAGGAGGTCAAAGATGGACACGCTGAGCGTTGAGATGTGAGGGTCTCCTGCCTCCCCCTTCGTCTGCAGGGCCCCGTGGTTCTCTTACCGCAGCGTCTGCTGGAACATGCCAAGCTCGGAGCCGGCGCAGGGTTCACTCTGCCTGTCACAGAGCAGCAGCATCTGCTGGCAAACCAGCGGCAGACCTGCCTGTCCGGACTTCTGGGCTCTTTATGCAGCTGTAGGAGTAAACAGCAATTAGAGAACATTCCCACAGGAGATGAGATCACCTGGGCTGAGTCGGGGAGGAACTGGCTGCTTGATTGGGAAGAAAACCTGGGGAGAATGCCAAGGTCCCTATAGAGTGTGATACCCTGTAAGTGCTCAGGACGGCTGTGCAGATAGTAGACAGATCTGAAGGAAGGTAACTGATGAGGGGACACACCTACACTTCCTGCAGACACACAAGATGGTGGGTAACAGATCCCAATTCAGGGACTGTCGGTATCTATCACCATACTGGGCAGCCCCTTTCCCCGACGGATCTCCAAACCACCCAGGAAAGAAACGTGACTATGAACATATCTCCATTGTGCAGATAGGTAAACTGAGGCATGGGGAGACATGACTTGGCCAAGGTCACACAGAGATCAAGTGTCACACTGAGAGACAGAACCCAGGAGCCCTGTCTTCCCGTCTTTAACCACAGGCCATTGGTCATGCCAAGAGGGAAATGGGATCCCACTCTGGTGGGGACAGTTTGTTAGGTGGGAGGCAGAGGAAAGTATAGAAACAGGAGCCTGAGCCTTCACCATCCTTCCAAGGTGAATCTGAGGTTCTCTGAAGCAAAATGCAGGACAATGTAGCACTTTAAAGACTAACAAGATGGTTTATTAGATGATGAGCTTTCATGGGCCAGACCCACTTCCTCAGATCAAATAGTGGAAGAAAATAGTCACAACCATATATACCAAAGGATACAATTAAAAAAATGAACACATATGAAAAGGACAAATCACATTGCAGAACAGAAGAGGGATGCGGGGGGGGAGGGGGAGGAAGGAAGGTAAGTGTCTGTGAATTGCTGATATTAAAGGTAGGGAGAGTGGGATGTTTGCGAGTTAATGGTTGTGACGGCGCGTTGGGGGTTCCCCGTCTCCTGCACCCCGAAATGGCACAAACAGACTGCACCAGCCGGTGGAATAGAGGAAGC